CATTTTCCAATCAATTACATATTAATAATTTGCCTTGTGTTACAATATATAGTGAGGTTATACAACTGAACAAAGAAAAGCATATTAAGAGTAATTTTAATTATTGTACCAAACCATGTACAGTAACATATAGTACTCTAGAACTGATGCACCTGAAGCAGTAATTACTCAAATATTTGTAAATTCAATAATTATATAGTTCCAGTGATATGTTCTACAAATATATATTCACCCTCACAACTCCTTTATGCTTCCAAAATAAGCCAATGGATTTAGTCAACAACTTTTATACTGATAGAGGATAACATTCTTTAAAAAAAAGATTTTTCACAAAATTCCTTATTGTCAAGGGACCAAATGTCTGCGCCTGATGTGCCTTCTAAGATTACTTTTATCCTTAGTACGGAGAGGGCAGTGGGGACAGGCAAAAGGAGCATCTCCAGTGTGGGTCCTCATATGGATGTCGAGGGAACCTCGATAATCGTAGGACTTCGGGCAGAGGGGGCACTGGTAGAATTTGTTGATGTGAGGAGAGCCAAGAGTTGGTGGTACAAGTCTGGCTGACATCTGGGGAAAGACGAAGGGTGGGTGAGTTTCACTAGATCAAACCAAAATATTCTGGCCTCAGGGGGTCCAGGAAGAACTGTAAAAATTAGGTAATGCATGTTTCATAAAAAGTCATTGTATATGAGTCATCATATTATATAAAATCTCATATTATTTTCTGTAAATGAAGTTGATAACCTCATTTTTTGCAAGCAGTTCCTCATATAAAATCATTCGTATACTGTATATGGGTGTTCATTACCTTTTATCATCACTTGTGGTTTGTGTAATTAAAACTCAAATGTTTTCTTAGGAATATTTTGATGTTTAGACTTAATATGACGATGTAGGTTGCCAAGTTGGGTGGCCCGGTATGAACAAAAATTGCATGCAAATGGCTTCTCTCCTGTATGTGTCCTTTTGTGTCTTTCAAGATCAACACTTCCATAAAATTTCTTGGAGCAAAATGGGCATGCATGAGAGCGTGTTAAGCTTGCAAGTTCTGGAAGGCTGGAAGTGGTCAGCTGGTGTTGCAGAGGATGTCCAGCAGGCAATGCTACACAACTAACTTGTGAGGAGGATGTCGCACAAGACAGCAGGGAGGTGCTTCTAACCTGATGAAGAAAAAGCAGATCACAGTCTGATTGAAAAACATGTATAGAGTTAAATTTTAGTATAAAAATACATTTTATCTTTTCAGAACTCAGTTTTGTTACTGTATTTAATTTAATATTATCAATTTTTATAACTGTAGATTTAAAAGGCAAAAAGTAGACAAAACCAAAAGTTAATTGTTTATTGTATTTCATGAAGTTTTGAACCTGTGCAAATCACTCAGTGCAAAGAGTGATGGAGGCATAATCCTCCTTCTACTAATCAGAGCCTGATCACCAACCACTTAGACAGATGATGCCATCTGATTTCAGTTGTGAACTACTGAATATAAGCAACCCATCTTCAGTGTATTCTTATTATTTTTCTTAAGCATTACTCTACATTACCTTCAGAACCTTCCATGAATATAGATTTTATTTTTCATATATTTTTTTTTTTATTTAAGACAGCATATTTCCATTGCTGTGTTCCTGTCTACAAGAAAACAGTGAGTTGACCTGTGTCGAGTGAAGATGTGCTGGTGAGCGCTCAATAGCAGTAACAACTGTACCACTAAGTGAAAATGGAACTGGAGGAAGCCAGGAGAGAGATACCGCTCCTGAAGGAGAGCATGAAGATTTGCAGCAGTCCACATAAGCAAGGTTGAGGATAACAGAGAAAACTGCACAGTGAGGAAAAGGAAATGAACAAAGCTCAAGATCAGAGAAATAAATGAAACTGCACTGGAAGCCGCTAACATCTCCAAAATGAATGCAGGATGACCAATGTAGCAACAAAGATTAAGGTACCAATTACTGTTATTGGAAGTTCATGGGTAAAAATATTTTGACACACACTTCTGTAAGAAGCAATGGAAGAATAGTGTGATACTGAATGCCAGGCATCCTCTTAAAATGTATATTACCTTGAAAGTAAGAAAACTGCTAGAAAGTTTAGCCCAATATGCATAGTCAATGAATGGCTAGCTGGAATTTCTTCATGTCACACCAATGATGAATCATTATTATAATAGCATATTCACAAAAAAAGCACTAAAGCTGTATGGGTCATTATTTTAAACCAAACACAGGGTTAGAGTTTTGCTTTTCCAATCATGAAACACATAGAGCACACAGGCCCATTCTTTCATATCTAGGCCAAAATTTACCACTCACAGTTTATCTGAGTGAACTGAGCTCAGGACATGGATCTTCATGAAGGACCCTGGTGTCAGTAATGTAGATCTATGTGGAAGACAGTGAAAGGGTTACAAGTGTTGTGTAGTTAAGAGGAAAAGTTGCACTGTGGAGGTTGAGCACAAGAATGAAAGGAAGAAGTCATAAATGGTATAGTAAATGAGTCTGTTAACAAGTTGTGGTGAATATGAGGGACTGGCAGTGGGAAGGCTGAACAGAGTGGGAATTTGAGTAACTACTGAAACATGTAAAAATAATTAAATCACAATGTTTTTAAATTTTTATTATTATTTTCTACATACAGAAAACCACAGAATTTCAAGGAATTGTTTACCACAGGAAAGATGTACTGTTCGCCCTTACTATACACAACACATCATATACATTAAAGGCGAAACTTTGCGACAGGAAGGTAGAAAGTGTAAAAACATCAGGGTGTCAATAAAATACTACAATGCAAATTAAGATATTAAATATTTTTTCTCCATAGAATATGATTATTTCCTTGATATTAGACAAGCTGATGGTTAAGGTGCATTGTTTTACTTTAAAATTTATTTAAAAATTAAGTCTTCAATGTCCTATGTATGGTACATACTAGAATATATATTATATTTTATATACACAGCCTCTCCTCACTTAGCGACGTATTCGTTTACCGATGACTCGGACTTACATCCCTGTCTAAGACCTATTTTTACTGGGAAGTAATCCCTCTCTCCTACACACTCTAACCTGAGCCTCACTATTCTCATAAAAATTCTTTACAGCATTTAGTAACTTACTACCTATTCCATATACGTACTTGCAACATCTGCCACATTGCTCCCCTATCCACTCTATCATATACCTATTCTAAATCCATAAATGCAATGAAAACTTCCCTACCTTTATCTAAATACTGTTCACACATATGCTTCAATGTAAACACCTGATCAGGAGGGCCCTGCATCAGCCTCTCCTCACTTAATGACGGAGTTCCGTTCCTAAGACCACGTGGGTAAACGAATTCGCCACTAAGCAAGGAGCATAATATAATGGTAGTGGGATTGTGTCAACCATGTTTGATAATGTTTTAATGTTACTTTTGCACCATTTATAACATTTTTAGTATATTTTTAAATGTTTATACAGTAGTGTATTGTATATTGTAGTAAACAGAATAAGAACATAAGAACATAAGAACGAAGGAACACTGCAGAAGGCCTACTGGCCCATGCGAGGCAGGTCCAAGTCTCCTACCGGCTTAAGCCAATGCACCCAACCTAGTCAGGTCAGGTCACATTGACTTAAGGGAGGAACACGGCAACCGACCTGGTAGCACAAGCTATCAGGTCTAACTCACACCCACCCACATCCACTCATGTATTTATCCAACCTATTTTTAAAGCTACACAACGTTCTGGCCTCTATAACGGTACTTGGGAGTTTGTTCCACTCATCCACAACTCTATTACCAAACCAGTACTTTCCTATATCCTTCCTGAATCTGAATTTTTCCAACTTAAAACCATTGCTGCGAGTCCTGTCTAGGCTAGATATTTTCAGCACACTATTTACATCCCCTTTATTTATTCCTGTCTTCCATTTATACACCTCAATCATATCCCCCCTAATTCTACGTCTTTCTAGAGAGTGCAGTTTCAGGGCCCTTAGTCTATCCTCATAGGGAAGGTTTCTGATACATGGGATCAACTTTGTCATCCTCCTTTGTACATTTTCCAGAGAATTTATATCCATTCTGTAATACGGTGACCAAAACTGTGCAGCATAATCTAAATGAGGCCTAACCAAGGATGTATAGAGTTGAAGAACAACCTGAGGACTCCTATTATTTATGCTTCTTGATATGAAGCCAAGGATTCTATTAGCTTTATTGCGAACACTTATGCACTGTTGTCTTGGTTTCAGATTACTGCTAACCAGAACTCCTAAATCTTTTTCGCAATCCGTAATATTAAGATCTACATTATTTAGTTTATATGTGGCATGGCTATTGTCCTGTCCAACATTTAGAACTTTGCATTTGTCTATATTAAACTGCATCTGCCACTTCTCCGACCACTGCATCAGTCTATTCAAATCTTCCTGGAGTGCTCGAATGTCCTCGTCAGAATGAATTCGACGGCCTATTTTGGTGTCATCGGCAAACTTGCCGATGTCGCTCTTTATGCCCTCATCTATGTCGTTTATGTAGATTGTGAACAGCAGGGGGCCCAACACTGACCCCTGTGGAACACCGCTCGTGACACTTCCCCACTCTGATTTCTCCCCATTTATGCAAACTCTCTGCTGCCTATTTGTCAACCATGCCTCTATACGCAGAGGAAATCAGCTTTTATATGCATTATTTAGGTATGCATACTGGTCAGAAAGCTCGTCGTAAGTCCGAGTCATTGGTAAATATTGCTAAGTGAGGATAGGCTGTATATATATCTTCTTCTTTCAACAAACCAGCCGTATCCCACTGAGGCAGGGTGGGTCAAAGAGGAAAACAAAAGTTTCTCTTCATAACTTTAGTAATGTATACAGGAGAAGGGGTTACTAGCCCCTTGCTCCAGCACTTTAGTTGCCTCTTACGACATGCATGACTTACGGAGGAAGAATTCTGTTCGACTTCCCCAAGGAGAATATATATATATATATAAAAACAAAGACAAAAACTAGTGTGTGTAAATTTTAATAATAAAAGATATGAAGCTACTAGTTGAGTCAGCTTATACATTAACTGCATTATACTACACGTTCACTGGTGAATCCACATAGAAATTAAAGTTAATTGCTACTTAAATCAGTTCCTGATCATTAAAGCTGTGGTGCCTATGTTGGGTTGCATGCTGCAAACACCAGTAGTTTACTGATCAGGTCACTAGCCAGGAAGCCTAGTCTGCGACTGGGCCACAGGAACAATGGTCTAAGGGAATCAACAAGAAGTAAAACGAAGTTGCTGTAGACACCAACTCTTTAATTAACCCTGGAACTCTTTGTTAGTCTAAATTTTTGATCAAAACTAATTCACTGTCTCACCAAATTGCCTTTGCTGGAGCATTATTATATACCATCTAAGATATTAATCAAATATAAACTCTTAACTTGCCTTACACTTGACAAGGGTAAAAATACAACTGATGAAAACTTTGATAATAAGAGATTTAACATTTTCCAATGAGATGCAACAAACTGAATTTCAGGTGTTATATTAAAAAACTAAATGATTATACATGTATTACAATAAAGGAGAAAATTTATAAAGAAGAGCTTCATTAAGTCAAAACTGTTTCTTGAGGGTTAATACACAACAGTGTACAAGTCACTATTACTTTACAAAAATTTTATTTACACAATTTCAGGGATCATTTATGTTCACAATAAACTATTTATTCCAACTTCCACCAAACCTGAGGCACATTTAACCATAGCAGTTAAAGCACCATGAGCCAGATAAAGTAATTTTGCTCATGCTCTAGATTGTGTAGCATAAAATAAGTGTACATTACCTTTTGAGTCTAATATTTCTCATTTATTTACATTTTAGTTCGAAGCTGTGTTACATACATTTTATGGTACAATTCAATATGAAAATATGTAATCAAATCATTAAAGACAGGAGACAGATATCTTTCTTTACATGATGAAATCTTTTCACCATTGCAAATCACACTATCATTGAGTGAAAATAGCAAAATATATTTATGCACTTGTAACTAATGATTTGATCATGTGAATCTACTATTTTGCTGAAACATATGTAAGTAGATTTTGACATCCACATTCAAGTAAAGTAATGCTTACCTCAAACTTCAAAGCAAAAAAAAAATTAATACAATGAACATCTTAGTAAAACCACTACTGTAATTTCTTCATGTATGTTCATAATATTCAGAGATAGTTATTTCACCAGCAAAATCATTTTTTTTAATATCTGTCTTTCATGAAAAAAGATCTATTGATAATACTGCATTATAAAACAGACAAAAGTAAAAGAAAAAAATGTGATACGAACAGTACATTGTAAACTCTGAAACTTTTAATGCTGCATATACTACTGTTCTAAGAAATCACTTGATGTTTCAAAAATGGTGCAGAAGATAACTCAACTGGCCCTAGTCAACGGTCTGAATGTGTAAGAACTTGATGGTGCAAAGGTTGTGGATGACGTCGAAGGAGATGGGAAGTTAGGTGTTCCTTGCGAGTTGCAGCATAATGACAGTGAGGACAATGATAGGGACGTTCCCCAGAATGCAGACGCAGGTGCCGACGGAAATTACTTGTACAGGTGAAGGTAGCATTGGGGCAGTGTGGGCACTTGAAGCGAAGCTGTAGTGGGTTACCATGTGTCTGGAAGAGAAGACCAACACCGGGTATTACTATCACAGCTTCAGTCTCCTGGTGTCAAAAACCCAGCACTGGAATCATAGACATACACGTATTACAGCAGTGATAATATTTCCAAGTTCCCAGAAGATAATTGGCATATTCACAAGAAAGCGCTAAACCCAAATAAGTCATACAGTATTCATAGATGATAATCTAGATAATTTTGTCCACTATGTTCTCTTTTACTCAATTCCAAGATAAATACATACATTGAGCTTATTTAAAATTAAAAAAGTCCATTTCTTGCCTAAGAATGCAAATATTGCACATTGCAATATATTTTGAATTTGATGCCAAAACAGCTTTATGTGAACTCATCATCTTTATATTTCCCAAAGACAAATGTTATCTTCTGTAATTCTTATCCAGAAAGCTGTCATTGAAAATAATAATGCTGCCTTATTTTCATTAGATCACATATGTATTACATAGTATGTGCCAATAACTAATTATCTTTTGACAGGAATGCATCATGGTTAAGATTCTATGAATACTAAAACATACTTAGTAAGACCTTAAAACTTTCAATATCTGAAGTCTCCATGTTCATTAACATAATGGGTTTTGAAAACATCCACAACATTTAGGAGGTACACTACATGTATTCTAAGGAGTCACCCATATAGTTTTTTGGTCTTTCCAAAACTGTAGTACTGTATGCAACTGACTTTCCAATAGCTTGCCTTATATTCAAGTCCTCCTGTTAAGCTTCAAACATGTACCACATAAACTGAGTACAGTACTTTACATTTATTAATAGCCAAATACATGCTCTCTATTGGCCACTTTCTGCAATGAGACTATCAGGTGGAGGATTGTGGCGACGGAAGAGATGAGAGGCGAGGTGTTCCTTTCGTGAGGCAGCATAGAAACAATGTGGACACTGGAAGGGCCGTTCTCCTGTGTGGAGACGAAGATGGCGCCGGAAGGTCTGATTGCAGCTGAATGAAGAGTTAGGACACTGAGGACACTTGAGGATTGGCCGTGCAGGGTCACAGTATGTCTGTAACAAAACACAAATTTTTGTTGGTAACTTTGTTACTACAGTATATCTCTTTCATCATTTCACTGAGTTTGTTGTTTATTTATAAAGAGTACTTCCTAAAAAAAAAATCCGTAAATACCCAGTCTTTCTTAAAAATAATGCTACACATTTTAATAACCAAGAAAAATCACGTCATACATGTATAAAAAATTTACCAGTACAAAGCGGCCAAACTGATCTAATGTTTCCATAATGACTTTTTTTTTGCTTCCTTGGAGTTCATAGCCTGATGAATACTTGTACAATTCTATTAAGTTCTTAAACAGGGTATCAAGTATACATACTGCTGCTTAGAAAACAGAGTGACACATGTGGAAATTATATGCAGTGTACAGTATAAGTACTGTAGCATGCATAAATTATAGCTGGTTCAACTGGAGCATTATGTTATAAAATTTATATCGGTCAAACAACTTGGCTCTTCTATATAAATTTTTATTCGGTAAAAAAAAACATTCTTCCATACATACTACATAAGGAAGGATGTCTAGTAACACACGAAGAGATATGATACAAGGATGCCATTTTATGAGAAGAGAACACTGGTGTTCTCTTCCTGCAAAATGGCATCCTCATGATGATGAAGAGCTTGATCCCTAATCATGACGATCAAGAGCCTGATCTCTAATCAGAGTTTTTTAAATTCCTCTTTAACTCTTTCAGGGTTGGTGCCACACTTGTACGCGTAAATTCTAGCACCTTTAAATTGAGTGGAAGCTGGTAGGCCTACATATGAAAGAATGGGTCTGTGTGGTCAGTGTGAGCAGTATAAAAAAATCCTGCAGCATGCAGTGCATAATGAGAGAAAAAAAGAAAAACTCCATGTTTTTGGTTTAAAAAGGTGAATTTGCAGTATATTTTCATATGGTAATTATGATTGTATTCTCATTTTCTTGGTCTCAATTGATAGAATAGAAGATAAATTACAGAAATAGAGATGATTTTGATTTGTTTCACAATGAAAAGTATCTTGATATTGAGCTCTAAGTAGCAGAAATATTTGATTTTTGCCAATGTTCAAGATTAAACAAATCACGCCACACGTCCAATACACATCAACTTGTGAGTCTAATATTCTTTTACAAGTGTGCTGATATTATTTATAATATTTTTACAATAATGCAGTAGTCTGCATAACAGTAAATCTTTATTTTTTGAGAATAAAAATTCAAAATGGAAAGAAAGAGTAATATAAGAGGGGCCTAGAGACGTTACTAATGAACAGAGAAAATGTTATTTTAGTGCCAGGAATGTCTGTCTTGTTTATTCTGGACCCTATTTTGAAATTGGCATCTTTTGAAATTTGTGTGAAATTGGCCTAACTGCCATTTTTTGACCACTTCATTGGGTAGTTGAAATCGGTAAATGGCGGTTTCTTGTACTTATTCGATAGAATAAATGGAGCTCTAGTGAAATAGCTATGATTTTAGTCGACTGGAACATTGGAATTGGTCAAAAACAGGACTCAAAGTGGGTGAAATCGCAGATGCGTAAATATAGTCGAGACCGTTAAGTTCGTGAGAGCATAATTCCCTAAGTTTTCAATCAAATTTCATACTTTTGGTGCCATTAACATCAGGAAAAGATTCTCTATCATTTCATAAGAAAAAAATTATTTTTTTTTTTTTTTTAAATTTTTCGACCCTGAGAGTGAGTTCAATCCTATTAATACTTAATGCAGAAAAAGGAAGACAATGTCAATAACTTATTTCTGAGTTATTATTATTATTGTTTGGTGTGAAACTCTACGGCTACGACACGCCAAATCTCAGCGTGTTGCACTACTTCGTCCTTGTTGACAACCTGCAGGCTACTAAGGGAGACACTGACCGTGCTCTATACTTTAGCCAGCACAGAAGTTGCCATGTAGAGTATTTAGAATGAAACAATTATAAAAATCATAATTTTTGGAGGAAAAAAAAAAACACTAACTGCCAACATGTATTTTTGATGACAGCAAGAACACAAAAAATACATTTAATGAAAAACATACTTAGACATATGATAGAAACAAGTTGATTACATCAAAATGTTGCCAGAATTTTGCACTATTTTTCAGTAAGAAAACATCTTTTTCCATACTTTTTCAGTCTTAATTTCCTGATCACTTTAAAATGGCTCGCCCCTCCCTTAAGCCAGTAGGATACTTGGATGTGCCTTGCAGGAGCCAGTAGGCCTGCTACAGTGTTCCTTTTTTCTTATGTTCTTAAAATTTTTGGATGCCAAATTATGACTTTTTCAGTTTTTTAATTGCTTTTAATGTTTAACAGTATGTACACTATTTTTTATATTAACCCTTAAACTGTTCAAACATAGAACTACATCCACCTGTGTAGTGCTCCGAATGCAGTGGTACCTTGGGATACAAACTTATTTCATTCCAGAAGGCTGTTCAAGTGCTGATACCAAACAAATTTGTTCCCATGAAGAATAATGTAAATTAGATTAATCTGTTTCAGACTCCCAAAAATACACTTACAAAAGCACTTACACAAATACTCTTACATAACTGTTCATGTTTTGAACTGTTCGTATCCTGAGGTACCACTGTATTTTGGAAAAAAAAAAAAAAAGAATTTTTTAAATGAAGAGTGGATTTTTATGAATGTTATAGGATAAAAAAAAAAAATTTAGGGCCAGTACTTACCGAGATATAAGCCTGCGAAGTTGGTGCTAAATGATGAGGTGTCAGCAACATGGAGCACTGCCGCTTGCAGAAATAAACATTTATCATTTTTTTCCAAATCTTTTCTATTTTTTTTTTGTTTTTTTTTTCATGTTATGATAATAATGTATTGTTGCAGATCTTTTTATTTCATAGCCAATTCTTGTAGAGACACAAATGATTGATACTGAATTAGTAATCATACTGTCACAAACACACATGTTCACACTGATAGATGAATTTGTACACCTGGTTCAATCACATACTATTGTTTACATATTTATACAAGGTATTTAGAGGTCCCATATATGTTTCTAGAAGTGCACCACTGTAAGATACTCGAAAAAGCATGGATTCATACAGAGTGCCACCCCACATTGTTGACATATGAATCGTGTGTCTTTTCACACTTGGGGTTGCCTTGTAGTGTGAGAACACACAACACACTTCTTCTTTGGGGTAGATGGTATCGGTATCAGGCAGTGATAGTTAGGGAATTATTCTGTTGGGCACTTCCCCCTCTGCTTGTGGGGTGACAGGTCGCTGTGGAGTAGCAGGTACGGGTATGGTACCATACATTTTCGCTATCTGCATGATGACATTGAGGGTGAATTCCACATATCGTTGTCGCTTCCCAGTCTTTATTTCGCACGTGTTGAAGGCATTGAGCATTGCAATGTCTACAAGGCGCAAAAACACTTTTATATACCACTTGCGACTCCTATGTACACAGTCAACAAATCCTATCATCATATCACACTTGTCAACTTGTTGCATATTGTTCGTACAGTCGACAACAGCGGCTGGCTTTACAACAGGTTCATTGTTGAACCTGCTCTGTCTGTCTGTACCATCTCGTTTCTGTGGATGGTTGACAGCAATTTCACGTCCCATTTGCCATGCCACATCAATGCCATGATGTCATTGGCGTGAAACGCTTGCACTACACTTCCTCCAGTGAACCTTGTCATGTGTTTTCTACTTCTTCTCACTGTTCCACATATATAAGTATTATTCACATGTAGAAAATCAGCAAGCATAGGGCTTGTATACCAGTTATCAGTGAACAATGTATGGCCCTTGCCAAGGTATGGCTCCATCATCCTGCGAACAAGATCTGCCCGGTATCGCCAAGTGTGTTTTTCCCTGTGTAGATAATGACATCCAACACAAGACCAGTTTCACAGTCACACATAACAAAGAGTTTTATACCAGAGCTATAACATTTGTTTGGTATATATTGTTTGAATGACAATTGTCCCTTGAACAGAACCAAGGACTCGTCAACAACAATGTTCTTGAATGGATAAAAGTAGGCACTGAATTTTTGCTTCACATACAAAAAAAATTCCCAGATTTTGTATAGGAGGTCATTTCGGTTTGGCGTATTCCTCTCTGAGGAGTGCAACATTCATAGCAACAGAGTGAATCTGTTGCAGGGAAAGAGGTCAGGGAAGACTGGAGTGCTGATGAAGTAGTCTGTGGACCAGTAGTGTGCTATATTTCTCTTATATGTGTGTGGCATAAGCATGACAGTGCCAAGGAATAAATACATTTCAGCCACAGTTGTATCTTTCCACCTGCACAGCCAGGATGATTCTGAAACATCAGTGTGGTCCATTGTATACCAGTAGTACATGTTGGTCTGGGTAACAATCAGGTTCATTATCAGCTCATCAAAGTATAGTTGAAAATAGTTAAACCCTGTAGACTCATTTGTGATGGGACAGTGTGGCATGATGCCACTTCTACTGGCATCAAAATTGAAAGGATGTGGCACAAATGGTGTACTTTCTGTCCAGTTCCATTTGTGGTCACCTGGTGCAGGGTGGACCTGTGGCATGGGGCATTGAGGAGCAGGAGGAGGGACAGGTGTGGAGGCAGCACATGCCTGAGAGGGTGCCGGGCAGCCCTTTGTCTGCCCACCCACCACGCCATGAGGTCCAGGCACCATGCCACCCCCCTTCTTCCTCCAGCCCAGTATACTCTCCTTGATGATCACTATCACTATCAGTGGCAGGGGTTTTGGATCATGACCTGCCACGACCCTTGCCGACTGCATATGGCACACTGCCTGAACATAGCCGATGCCTCCTGAAAGTACGTTTCAATGGGGAATATTGATAATCACTTTCACTCGACAACTCCTCTATGGGCATAAAATCTATTTCATCATTGTCACTTATATCACTGTCACAATCGCCATCACCATAACACACGGAAAATGATAATTTCCTCTTGCGGAGTTGCCTTTGGGTAGTAACACTAGAAACCCCAGAGGTGCTGGGCTGAGGGTCTGTTGTGGTCATACTGGTCACCTCAGAAATGCTGGGCTGAGTGTCTGGTATGGCCACACTGTCCACCCCAGAGGTGATGGGCTGTGGGTCATCTAGGTTGTCATCAATATTTTCACTAATTCCCTGATTATTAGTGGCTATATCAATGTCAAATCCACTAAACTTGCGTTCTGTATCACTTCACAAGAATAGTAGAGTGCTGATGTGACAGGGCGTGAGTGAATCACGGGGGTTTGCCATGATGTTGACCCAAGATGGAGCTGAAACTAACTGGTCTTACCATGCGTTACCCCAGCGTTCCCGATTTTTTCACACTGCACACTGAGTGTGCTGACCCAGAGTCTCATGTCTAGGTGACTCAGGCCTATTGCGCCAGTTTTGAAGAAATGAAAAATAAAATGTTGATCTACATTCGGAGCGTTACGCACGTCAGTGTAGATCTATGTGTGGACAGTTTAAGGGTTAAATGTGTTTAGAAATGTTTTAGCACTTGAAACAAGGGGAAATACTTAATCAAACATTGCTCTACTTGGAATATAGTGTATAATTTTTTTTTTCAACGAACTGGCCATATCCCACCATGACAGGGTGACTTAAAAAGAAAAAAGAAAGTTTTTCTTTTGAAATTTAGTAATTTATACAGGAAAAGGGGTTACTAGCCCCTTGCTCCCAGCATTTTAGCCACCTTTTACAACGTGCATGGTTCACGAAGGAAGAATTCTTTTTCACTTCCCCATGGAGATGAGTCAATTTGTTTGACTATATTGGGTTATCCTAATTATTTATGTTATATATTTAGGTCTGAGGAAATATACTGAGTTATAAAAACATTCTGAGACCATAAAACCTGTGTACCTCCCAGACTACTGTAAAACATATATATTTAAAACAAAATCTTATACTATTACAATTGTTTCAAGGTGTAATACTCATGGAGATATGTTGTATTGTTTAATATTATTGGGTTAAATCTACTTAGTGTGTTTTCTGGCTCAATTCCATTATTACCATGAAAATGTAATAAATTTGGAATGAATAAGTCATCTTTGTGTCACTTGCACACACTGTTTGCTGGTGGTGGAACAACAGCTCCTGGTTCATTGTTAAATTATGCTAGCTAGGTGAGCTAAGTATGTCAGAGGCATAGTCATCATCTGCATAGTTAACAAAGATGCACTGTGTTGACCTTCAAGGCCTTAGATTTTTTTTCAAAAGTATGAAGAGAATGTAGAACACCCAAAGAGTTGTCCTAAGGTCAAAAATACTGGCAGGTGGCAGCTTTGAAGGTATGAAAAATTGTGCATACTAGTACGTTGGGTACAATCGTCAGTTGCAGCACTACACTGGATACAGTTCAAGGAGTAATAATGAATATGGATAAGGAACAATGATTAGGGTAAAGTAACTACCATGACATATATTGTATTTTAGAGAGAAATGCCAATTATGTACCTGAAATATACATAAATTGAGATCAAGTTATTCTTAAGCAAGAATGATATCTGTGTACAGTACATATTGTAAAGAGGGTCAAAATTCATGTGACCTATTGCCTTCACAGTGACTGTTACCATTTTTAAATTTACCTATATACATGGAAATAATATTAAATAAATAGTTTTTCATCATGTCTTTCAGAAAAAGAAAAGTCTTTGTGGTAAGCATATTTATTAAACACAAATTTTTTTACAAGGCTGAAGTGAAATTGCAAAACACACAAAAAGAAGGTGCAGAAGTTTACACTGAAACATTATTACAGTGGACCCCTGGTTTACGATATTATTTCATTCCAGAAGTATGTTCAGGTGCCATTACTGAATGAATTTGTTCCCATAAGGAATATTGTGAATTAGATTAGTCCATTTCAGACCCCCAAACA